ACTAATGAGAGCTTGGTGATGCCAAGGTCCAGGTGGCAATAATGGGGGCATGGTGACCCAAGTAACAGGATAGAGATAGGAGGTCTGAGAAAAATGAGCTACAAGACAATGGGTAGTCTGGATGGCCCTGGGTGCCTGGTTTGATGAACGAGTGAGCCAGGTACTCAGGCCTGGCCAGGCTGGGTATGAAGTGGGCAAAGACTGAGGGTGGAGAGAAGGCTGTGTGGCTGGATGGTGAGGGGAACAGAGGTGCTACCTCTGAGACCTTTCTGCAGGATTGTGGAAGAAATAATGAGGTTATAAAAAGGTCAAGTGCCTAGGAAACTGTCTCTTTTGGTTTCCAGGGTGATCAACAGGAGGAGGAGGAGGAAGAGACCCAGATGAAGAAGTCAGAATCAGAGGTAGAGGTGAGAGCTGGGGTATATGGCAGGTGAGACATGTAAGGGCTGTCTCACCCAGCCCAGCCTATCCCTAACCCTGGCCTTGTGCTCTCAGGAGGCAGCTGCCATTATTGCCCAGCGGCCTGACAACCCACGGGAGTTCTTTAAACAGCAGGAACGAGTTGCTTCGGCCTCTGCAGGCAGCTGTGATGTGCCCTCGCCCTTCAACCACCGATCAGGTAGTCCTCGGCTCCATCCTCCTCCAACCCCCACTCCTCAGGTTATGGCCCTGAGCCCCTTTGGGACTCTTTCTTGGAAGAGAAGCCTTGCCCAGAGACCCCTTGGAGAAGGCAAGACCACTCACCCAGCATGCTTCTACCTGTGGCTTCCATGTGGCAGGACCCCAGAGGGCTGGGTGGGAGTGTGGATATCAGTCCTTGGCTAAGCAATGGGCAGAGCTGAAGGCCAGTTGGGCAGCTCTGGCATGGCCGCGGGCATACCACTGGTCACCAGCAGCAGCCTGCTGGTTGGACTAGGTCTGGCCTACAAGGCCATGGTGCATGTTGGGTGGGCTCTTGCCCTGGTCCTGAGTTTGAGCATCCTGGAGCCTGCACCCAGTTTCTCTGTTTGGCTTCTTGTGCAGCTTTACCTCTCCCGAAGCTCCCTTCCATCCTTGTCTGCTGGTCTGAGTGTTTGCACCTGCTGTGTGCTTGGCCCTGTTTGGGGCTCTAGGGGTGGAGCAGGTTGTCCTCAGTCGTGCTGCTGCTCAGAGAGGCTGGCTGTGTGTGGCAGACTCGTGGCCGTGTATTGTGTCTGGTGCTGGTGGGAGGCATCAGATAGCTTGAGGCTGTGGCCCAGCTTGGCTGAATATGCACCCTGGCGGAAAGCAGCTTGGACATCCAGGGCTAGCCCTGGGGGTGGGTGAGGCCTCAGGGTGGGGGTGGGGGAGACTGACCCTCTCTTGTCCTCTGTCTCTTTCTCTGTCTGTCTCTCTTGGCAGGTCGTCCGTACTGCCCTTTCATAAAGGCATCGGACAGTGGGCCTTCCTCCTCCTCCTCTTCCTCCTCTTCCCCTCCACGGACTCCCTTTCCCTATATCACCTGTCACCGCACCCCAAACCTCTCTTCCTCCCTCCCATGTAGGTAGCAGCCCCAGGCCTCTGTGGGGGGGTAAGGAGGGTCCCGCTTCCCAGCAGCCCCCTCGCCCTCACTCCCCAGCCTGACTGCTGATCTCTGGTGTTTGTCCCCAGAGCAGGTACTGCCTGCCTGTTGTCCCTGGCCCTGCAGGGTGCTGGCCCCCAGGGGCCTCGTTTACAGGGTCTGGAGCTGTGATCTGGCCCCCGAGGGGCCTGGGGAGCTCACAGCCCCCACCCACACTCTAGAGACGAGATGCTGGCCAGGCCCCAAGGTGGACAATCCTGGTCCCTCCTGGCTCCCCACCCTCACTGACCAACCTGGGGGTTTATTTCATAGGCAGCCACCTGGACAGCCACCGGAGGATGGCACCTACCCCCATTCCTGCCCGGAGCCCATCTGACTCCAGCACAGCCTCCACCCCTATCACTGAGCAGATTGAGCGGGCCCTGGATGAGGTCACATCCTCACAGCCTCCACCACTGCCACCACCACCCCCACCAGCCCCAGGTGAGAGAGGAGCCCCACATGCACTGAGCTCACATCAGGAACCCCAGCTTGCCATAAGAACAACCCCCCAGCAGTCTGGATCACCTGTCACCAACACTGCAGTGTCTTGGAAGTGGCTATGCCAGGGAGGAGCCCTGGTGTTGCAGTCAGACCTGCCCTCTGTAAACCTCAGAATCTCATGTCTGAAGTGGAGGTCAAGCCTTTCTCCCTGGTCTGTGGAATGGTTTAAAGATACAAGGTAGAGGGATATTGAGGCACAGGTATTGAAAGGTGCCCCGAGTGAAAGTCTTAGTGGAAATGTATTTTCCCAGCTCTCCCTGACTCCTTTACTCCTTAGGAGATGGGCAAAGTATTGTAGAGAGGGTCTCCTTCCTTCCCCGAGGGGGCTGACTGCATCTGTCTCTTCCATCTGTGCTGTGACAGAGACCAAGGAGCCCAGCCCCAGCCTGGACACTGAAGAGACCTGCAAGGAGGCCAGAGCAGCAGGCCTTCAGGCCTGGGCTGGCCCCATGGTGGAGGCTTCTCAGGCACAGGAGCTTCCCCAGGGGCAGGGCAGCGCGGTGGAGGACTTGATGTTCATGGAGTCTCCAGCAAAGGCTGACCTTGCTGCCCCTGTAGAGCCTGCCACAACTGATACCACTGGGGCCAACCTCTCAGAAGCCGACACCCATACAGCTGACACCATTGAAATCACCACTGACACCACTGTTGCCAACAATATTACCCCTGGCACTGCCAGCCTCGTTGACCTATGGCCTGGCAATGGGGAAGGGGTCTCAGCACCCCAGGCAGAGCCCAGGGCCCCCACACTACCCTTGGGTGCTGAGGCCACTCTGGCAGAGGTGCCCCTGCTTGATGAAGTGGTTCAAGAGCCACTGTTGCCAGTGGGTGAAGGCTGTGCCAACCTTCTCAATTTTGATGAGCTGCCTGAGCCCCCAGCTACCTTTTGTGACCCAGAGGAGGAAGTAGGAGAACCCTTGGTTGCCCCCCAGGCTCCAACTTTGCCCTCTTCTCTTGAGGAGGTGGATCGGGAGCCAGAGCCTGAGCTGGAGCAGGAACCCCACCTACTGACCAATGGCGAGACCACCCAGAAGGAGGGGACCCAGGTGGGGCAAGGGCACGTTGATGTGAGGGGTAGCAGTTTGGGCTCCAGCAGGGGGAGACTCTGCTTGCTGTAGCATCTGTGACCCTTATTTTTGTTTTGTTTTGTTTTGTTTGGTACCGGGGATCGAACTCGGGTCCTTGAGCTTGGGAGGCAGGCAGCACAACCACTGAGCTAAATCCCCAGCCCTGTGACTCTTTATTATTGAGGGGAAGTTCCATTCCACTCGCCCTCCCTGGTATAACTCTGCTTTTGTTCCCAGGGTAGACATCTTTGTTTCCCTGGCTACCACTGATGGAATCATTGGTTGCTGGGGAAACAGGGTCCTACCTGATAGGTCAGCCTAGCTGTGGTGGATGGGGCCTAGTGACCAGTGGCTTTCCCCTGCAGGCCAGCGAAGGGTACTTCAGTCAATCACAGGAGGAGGAGTTTGCCCAATCGGAAGAGCTGTGTGCAAAGGCACCACCTCCTGTGTTCTACAACAAGCCTCCAGGTAGTACTGGGATGGAAAAGGAGGAGGAATTGGGGTGAGGGTGCAGGGTTTGAGTGAGCGTCAGCAGCATCCCCAACACACACAGCTGCTACATTTCCCAGAGGCTGGGGGACAGAATCATGTGCTGGGCCATCTCCTTAACTTCTCTTCCCTCCCGATGCCATAGAAATTGACATCACCTGCTGGGATGCAGACCCAGTACCAGAAGAGGAGGAAGGCTTCGAGGGTGGCGATTAGTAGTGGCTCCTGCCCTCTGGCTGCCCTCACCAAGGCTGCCCTTGCCAAGGCTACCCACCTGCGCCGGCCTCTGGTCAGACAGCCCACAGCGCCTGCATTTGCAGCAGCTCTGCCTGGCACCCACTCTGGATTCTGGCTCTGGCCGGGGACTTTTCCGCTTCCCTACCCACAGGGCCTGACTTTTACAGCTTTTCTTTCTTTTTTTTAAAGTTGATAGGAGACTTGTACAGTTGACTGGTTTTCCTTGTTGGTAGTTGAGACGCTGTTGCAAACCCCACCCCACCCCTAACCTGGTCCAGATTGTAGCTTAGTCCTCCCCGCTCAGCTGGCCAGGGTGGAGGCCTCATCTCGCTTGGGGCCTGTCGTAGGGGAAGCTCTGGTGGGAAAATGTGCCCCCACCTCTTTTCCTAGTTTTATGTTTCTTGGAAAAATATCACTTTGTATTCTCTGTCCAGGGCTTCAGATATTTTGCACGAATTTTAAAACATGGCAATAAATGGCTCGTGGGCTCTGGTTCCCTGGGACCCCTCCCCGCCCTTCTCTTGACCCCTCCCTGCCTGGCCAGAAGGAAGTAGCAGGCCCAGCTGGGGCCCTTCGGCTTCCTCGCCCTCTCCTGCCGGGCAGGTCCCAGGCTGGAGGCCCTAGGCGTGATTCAGGTCAGGGTTATGGATGGAGCCCAGGGGTTTGGGTGGTCTCTTCCCAATTCCTTCCTCTTTGCTTGGGTTCCTTTTTCACGTTCAGTAACTGTTTTTTTTGAAAGCACAAACTTCTGTAACGGGTCGTGCTTATGTCTGTTAATAAAGAAATCCAGATCCCTTTGGGCCTACTGCTCTGGGCCTCCAGGGGCTGATCTGGCCAGGGCTGCCTATCTGCCCTGACCCATTCCCAACTCCTCCCACCTCCAAGACGGCAGCATCATCGTTCTGCTACCAAAGGCTGGTAGCCTACCCTAACCGTGATCTCAAAGGCAAGCGATCTGGAGCCTGAGGCCTTCCGAGGAACTAGCCTCTAATTTCCGAACGCTGACCTAAGGTTCAGTTCTGTACCCCCAGGCCGGCTTGTGGCAGAAACGCGCATTCGCGTTCCTTCCTGCGGAGGCAGAAGCATGCCTGGTCACTAGAACCTTGAGCGAAAGCAGCGGGTGTCCCCTCCGCTTGTACCAAAGCAGATCACACACCTTTATTATCCTCAAAATGTAACAAACGGGGTAAGAAATCCCTCCCTCCCCCCTCCCCCGCAGTCCAAGGGAAGCATTTAAAAAGCCCCACAGTCAGGCCAGGAGTTTGCCGGTGGGGCCCAGGACGCCGGGCGCCCCTCTATACGGCTGTAGTCCTCCCGAACAAGGGGATGGAGACCGGCAGGCGCCAAGCTCCGTGCTCCAGGGGCTCACGACTGCTGAGCTCTGAGTCGGTCCAGCTGGGGAAGACCCGGCGGCTACGGTCGGCCTGCAGACAGAGGGCGGGGCAGGGCGCTGCGGGCCTTGGGGCGCTGGACAGGTGCAGCGCCGAGGTGTAGCCCCGGTCCAAGAAGAGCGGCTTGTAGCTGGGCGGCGGCTGTTCCTGTTTCTCCGCGCTATCGCGGCGGCTCAGAAAGGGCGTAACGATCTTGCGGTAGAGGCCGCGCGTGTCCGTGAGCACCTCGCTGTAGGGCGGCGGCGGCTCTGCCATCAGCACCGCCTCTTCATAACATGGCGGCTTGGACATGTCCGATTCCGCTGCAGAATGGGAAGCGGTCCGAGTGGGTGAGGCCACTGGCCCCAGCCTCTGGTACAGGTCTTGACCGGACGCCTGCGCCAGCCCCAGCCCACTCCCCCGTCCCAGTCTCTCGGAAGCTGTAAGTGGTAGCCTCGCGCTTCGGCAGTGAGCCCACCCCTTGCCGATGCCCCGCCCACCCTGCTGGCTCCGGTCACCCAGCTGAGGTGAGTTCTTACCTTGACGCGGGTAGCTCCAGGGCCGGGGCGGCACGGAGAGGTGCGGCGGCGGCGGCGGGTGCGGCAGAGCGTGGTGGTGCGGGTGCGGGTGCGTGTGCGGCTGCACTGACCCGTGGTGCAGCAGGGGGTGCACATGCACGTGCGGATGCGCGTGCGCCGGCGCCTCCAGGCGGCTGCGGTGCGGTGGTGGCGGCGGCGCCAGGCCCGGGGGACTCCCGGCCATGCTGCCCTCGAGCTCCAGAGGCTCCAGCTCTAGGGCGCGCAGGTTCTGCTCGCGCAGTCGCTCCTCCTGGCGCCGTTTGAGACGGCGGCGCAGGAAGCTGCAGAAGCAGCAGAGCAGGACAATGAGACCCCAGATGAGCCAGAAGCCGGCGAAGCACGTGAGGAACGTGTAGGTGCCCTGGGACATCACCATGGTGGCGGCGTGAGCAGTAGGTCCTCAGCAGCTTCACTGGACACTGGGCTCCTCTGCGTGGCCTCGAGCCCGTGTCACGCTCCCAGGTGCCGCCAGTGTCACTCGGGGACCCGCAGCCGGGGGCTGCCTGCGGCGGGGCTCAAGTCGTACTCGCACCGGCGGGGGACAGCTTCCCCGCCTTCCCATGGCGCCGGCCAGCGCGCGGAAGTGCTTCACCCAGGACCGCGAGGGACCTGCGGGGCAGACACAGGACGCAGTAAGGCGCGCCGCGACCCCTGACGACTTCCAGGCCTGCGCCGGCGTCCCGTGTAGTTCCAGGGAAGACGCCTCCGTGGGAACCCCCGCACTCCCCGGGGGCCCGGTGACATCACCGGGGATGACGTCATCCCTCGAGGTTTCCCTGGTAGGGTTTCCCCAGATTCTAGACCCGGCCGCCACCGCCCTGGAGCCCAGATGCCGACGGGACCCAAAGCGAGCCAGCAGGGGGCGCGCGAAGGCCAGGCTCAAGTGCCGAGCCCGCGCTAGAGATTCACCACCCGAAACCCCCGAGTATAGGCCATAACCCCTCAGCTCGGAAATGGTTTCGGAGGCCTGTGGTTACCCAGCCGTAGGAATCTCGGCGCGGTGGCTTTGAGAGGGGGTAAGGACGGTCCGCCTTCTCGAGCCCTACAAGCAGTCCACCTGGCGCCCTACTTCAGGACATCCGGCCCTGCCCCGGGGCCTCCCGGTCTTGGCTGCGCCTACCCGTAGAGAGCCTCGGGCTGGCAGCTCGGACTGTCCCTGCGTGCCTTGGCCCAGCCTTTGTTTGCGCCTGACAAACCTCGAGAGTGTGGGCCAGGCCCTCTTCCTTTCCTCCAGTCGCCTCAGCCCGCCAGATTCCAGCTTCCCTGCTTCCTCTACAAATGTAGCCCTGCTTGGCTCCTCCACTCCATCTCCAGGCCGCCATCTCCCTTCCCCCAATTGCCTTTCCCTCTCCGCAGAGGAGAGAAAAATAGATGAGATTCGGAACCCCGTCTTTCTCGGACCCGCCTGGTCCTGCACTCACTCACTCCAGACTGGCATCTCTTAGTTCCACCTCTCCATAGCCAGGCTGAGGGGCAGGCGATATGGCATCTTGAGAGGTATGTAGCAAGGTGCAGTGAAGGGCGGCAGGTGTCACTCAACGCCACCACCACGGAACATACAGGAGACCTTCTTGGGTGCTTTATACCAGGCACTTTAACATACAACCTTTGGGGCATACAGACATCAATGGGGGAGCAAGGAGTTGTGCAGGTGGCAGAACCTAATTTGAACTCAGGCTTGGCTACAAAATCCTATCCTTAGTGGGATGGGGGAATGCTGCTGCTTGAGCTATTTCATGGGCCTCATCCAGAAACCCCGGGGAACTCCTGCCCTCAGCACACTGAAGGCAGTCGAACACACTCACTCAGTTTGGAGGCCCATACTCAGCCTGAGCCTCAAGCTAGGAGGATGCCAGGCCACACCACCTTCTCCCCAGATGGCTCCTGCCTGACTCCACGGCTGCCTTCAGCCATGCGCCACTTGGTGCCCGTGCCAGTCCTTTTCTCCGGGCCTGCGTTCCAGAACAGACAATGGCAGGAACAATAGCTCTGCCCGCCCCCTCCACAACCCTGCCATGAGGCTGCCATGGCGACGCACCCCAGATAAAAACACGATGCTGCCAGTCACTAGGAGTTAATTAAATCTGTTGTTCTCCTTTTGCAGAGCCCTCAGGAACAGAAATGTTCAGAGAAAATTGGCACTAACTAGAGGTCCCCCTGCTTAGTAGGCCAGGAGCAGTTATGGGTCAGAAAGGCACTTCTGGGGCTGGGGATAATGGGGCTTAGCTGAATTAGAAATACCTGTCTAGAGCCCGACCTGTGGCACATGCCTGTAGTCCCACTTACTTGGGGGGCTGAGGCAGGAGGATCACTTCAGCTCAGGAATTTGGGGCCAATGTAGGCAATGGTGAAACCCCTATCTCTAAAAATAATGAGGATTTTTTGTTTGTTTTGGTACCAGAGATCGAACTCAGGTCCTTAGGGTTGCAAGGCAGGTGGCAGAACCACTGAGCTAGATCTCCGGCCCTGTTTTGTTTTAATACTCCCAAGGACCATCAGTATTTGTTCCTCTTCCCATGCAGTGTTTTTTGGTTTTGTTTTGTTTTTTAATACTGGGTCTAGCTAGCTGTGTAGTTCAGACTGCCCCAGAACTCACTATGTAGCCTAGGCTGGGTTCAAACTCTCAGCAGTCCTACAGCCTAAGCCTCCCAAGTGCTGGGATTACAAGCATGTGGCATCATGTCCAGCCCATCCATTATCTTGTATAATCATCAACACCAACTAGTCACCTGGTCATGCCAACTGGACAGGTGAGGAGAGATAAGGAAATTATTTGCCCTAAGTCATACATCTAATAAGGGGAAAAGCTAAGATGCAGTTGTCATCTGAATTCAAATTGTGTCCACTTTCCCTGTGTAACAAATGAGATGTAAATGAAAATCCCAGCATTTGTGAGGACTCAGTATATATGGACTTGGCAGCTGTGGGGGAACTGGGCAGTGTGGCCAGCTAGTACCTAAAATGTACATTTCTGTTCTTCCCACCAAGGCCTTGGAGTTCCTGACCATGAGCTCACTGCTGCCCTGGACTAGCTCGGGGTGGCAAAGGGCTGCACAGAATGAAGGAAGGGTGGGATGGCAGCTCCAGGCTTAACACAGAAGCAAAGACAGGGACACAGTTTAGCAGACTGGGCATTAGGCCAGACTGGTACAGGCCACACCCCAAATCTACTCAGTGCCATTTGACACCCCTCAACTAGGAAGAATCATTGCCATATTTTATAGACTGGCCAGAGAGGGGCAGTCTCTTGCATGAGGTTTCAAAGCTGAGCTGGCCCTCTGACCTGGCTCCAAAGCCAAGTTTGAGGTGTGGGGATTTGATGCTAAACACTGCCTTTTCTTATGTGGATGCCATAGGCCCACAGGGCTACAATCTGGCCTGTAGCCTCCTTCCTAGTTACTCAGTATATAATGATCTAGTAGTCCACAATTGGTGCTTAATATGTAAACATTGAAAGATTCTTTCAGATCTTTCAAAATGCTCTACTGACCAAATGAATTGGAAGCCTCCCCAAAAGGCTATGCCCCTTTGCTGCTCCACACCTTTGTGTACGTTCTTGCCCTCATCTGGGGACCCCTCAGACTCACAGCACCTTGCCTGAAGCCACTGGCCTTGCCTTACCCCTCCAGACTGTAAATAGCAAACACCTGCCACATGTCCAACTCTGCTATTTGTTAGGAGCCATGCCCTTCACATGGACTTATCCTTAAGCCTGCCATCTTACTATTTGTTTTGTTTCTATTTTCTTTCATGCTTGTAGGTCATGCGAACGTTCCTTAAGATTCCATCTTGAGGGCCAGGGATTTAGCTCAGTGGTTCCGCTGCCTGCCTCGAAAGCGCAAGGACCCCAGTTCGATCCCTGGTACCAAAAAAAAAACAAAAACAAACAAAAAATTACACATAACTCAAGATGGAACCTTTTTTTTTTGGTACCGGGGATCGAATTCGGGTCCTTGCGCTTGCGAGGCAGGCTGTGGAACCACTGAGCTAAATCCCCAGCCCATGTGTAATGTTTTTGAGCATATGTCTGTGTATAGTTTTTGGCCACACTCACTGGGAACACACCAGGGGAATGAAAGCAAGACCCTGGGTATTTTATACCTCCATGCTGCCATGCTGCCTCAGTTTCCTCATCAGTAACCATTGTGAAGACTGAGCTAATCCATTGCAGAGGGTATGGAGCTGAACAACAGACATTAGCTCTGATGATGGCAGCTTCTGAGCCCGAGATGCAGAGATGTATTTGTCCTTAAGGTGCTCCCTGCCTGAGGGCTGGACACCACGGACAGTTCTCACAACCTTCCTAGGAAGCAGTCTTCCCACTTGACTGATAAGAATACTTGACTCCGAGATTAAATGACATCCAATGGCCACAGATCTTGTATTCTAGGGCCTAGCTTCATTACTGAGAACACCTATTACATTGCTTCTCTGCATGAAGAACCCTGGCACCTCCACCAGAGATCTGCTACTTGAGTTCTTTATCTCAGCCATGGGGTCATCATTTACCCAGGCACAAAATTCTCAGTGCGGGGTGTCTTCATCTGTCTATGTCCTTTAGTCCTCTTGCCACTGGCCTGGTTAGGCCACCATCAACTCTCAGCTAGAGCCCTATTACCATGTTTGCCATGTGCTGGACCCCCTGCGCTGCCTACCCACTCTCCATGCTGCCCATTTCCTCTAGGCCCTCTCCTGTCTGAACCCTCTAGTTCTTCCTTGTTGCCTTAGAAGACAGTCCTGCCCTTAACATGGTTCAGACTGATGCCTCTCAAACTTAGGTGGGGCCCTAGAGTTTGCATATCTAACAAATTCCCAGCAGATGTTGGACCAGGGAGCACTCTGTGACCTAGATCATGCCCCCTGGGAGGAGCTACTGCCAACGCCAATTGGCCTCTTGCACATTTTCCTGGAGAAGTTATTCCTAAGTCACCACCCCTGCCCAGGGCTGGATGAGAATGAATGAAGCCCAGTGATCGAAGACTGTTCAGAAGTGGCCTGTGTCCACGACAGGCTGCCTCTGCCTCCATCAACTGGCACACAATAATTCAAAGGCCACTCGTTTGGCCCTAGCTATAGGACAAGGAACACCTCAGGAGCTGGGTCACCATCCAAATCATTCCTGAGAACTGTCTGCCATTTACCAAAAAGTCAGAGAAAGAAGCCATGACCCAGCATTCAGCCCTCACAGCATGGGTTATAAGCAAACTGAGAATCCTATGTCTTTGGGCAAAAGTCAAAAGACAACCTGGAGGCACACACCAAAGGCTTTGGAGAAAGGAAATCCCAGGTTCAGGGTGACGAGGCAGAACCCTGGCCATAAGGCTTAGGGCTGCTAGTACTCAGGTGTGGGGACAGAGACTCAGACTCATAGAGACAGAAAGGAGGGAGGAGGCTGTGGTGT